TTGTTCGTGTGCCATATAAATTAGAACAAACAGAGTAATAAATATTATTTTCAAAATTATGTTAAAAAAAAGTACTGCAAATCACAATAGCTAAAAATTTAAAATATTTTTAAAATCATATAAAATTTTCAATAACTTCTCAAATTCCATAATATGACATAAGTTAAAATAAAAAATATATATATATTGGGCCCCGTGCTGGCACGGGGTCCTATATCTAGTCAACCTTAAACGTCAGTCACTCTCTTAAGATTTATGTAGACTTTGAGCAGGTGAACGTACTAATTTTTTTCATGGCCAAGTCTAACCCTATCAAAGCAGTCTCACCTTGAACCAACCAATAGAAGACCTTGAAGGGAGCTATATATCTGAATGATGAAACGATAATTGTTATTATAAGCAAATTCAGTTAGAGGTAGGTAATCATTTCAATTACCTAATCGTGAAACTCCTCGACATGGAGAGTTTGAATGGTGTGTCTGCCTGTCCATCAATCTATGCCTAAACCCTTATGATTGATGGACGAGAAATGCCTAAACCCTTGCGAAAAAGACTTCCAGAAATGATAGAGCACTTGATGATTACAAACTTCTCCGTTGATCATTTAATTTACGATTTGAATAATAATTAAGCTGAATGTGGCTGTTAATAAATTAATTTCACCCTTCACGTTGGTATATTTATGGATTCACAAAACTGACTTACAATAAATAAAAGGTCAAAAGAAACTCCTACAACTCAAAATATCATTTTTACTCAAGAATCCAGATCCCACCAAAGGTAAACACCACGACCAAGCAAAATGACAACAGATCAAAAATCCAAATTTAAGCAATTCTCCATTATATATAACCAACCAAGTGCTCAATGGCAAAATCTTATATCACTAAAACCATAGAACAAAGAAATACAGTTGATGATTACAAACTTCTCCTCAGTAAACAGCACACATGATGACTTGTTAACGCCCACAACTATGTAAGGATCACAGTAATACACTGCAAAAATATTCAACTCAGTATAATTAAAGTGTGGAATTAAAGACACAAAGAAAACCCATGCCAATGCCAGAAATTTGGAGTCAACTTACCAATATGCCTAGAGACCTTGTTCAAGAAGATAGTCACCCAACCTTTCAACAATCATATTGCACTGTCCAGGAGTCATCGGCTCATCATATATTCCAATGATCAAAGCCTGGCTGGTCTTCTTAATGGTGATACCACCTGGACCCTGAAAATAACAACCACATCCAGACTGAGTCACCACTCCCCACTGAATATAAAATATTACAGAGAACAAATTAATTTGTTGGTAAACAAACACTCGCTTTGAATAATGAACATTAAAACAGGAAACCAAAGGCCCTCAAGCTCCCCATTTCCAAAGGATATCATTTAGTTCATTACTGTGACCAAAAGATACTTGGGAGGATGATTAATTATTTTAACATTCAAGGGAAGTTCTTATGTAAGCTTGTATCATCAAATGGGAGAAGGGATAAAGATTTGTCCAACCCCAACAGGTTGTTCCAGCAACTCAACGAAGCCCAAGTGAGTTAAAGCATTAAAACCTTTTTTTGAAAAAAAAAACAACGATCATGTACCTTCTTCCCTCGGATCACAGCTCCTGGCTCTCCTTGAATCACCATGTATTTTGTTCCCCCAAGATACAAACCAGTTGGAGCTAGTGTTCCAGGTTCCGCAAAGTCATTCATGATGCCTGTTATTTCTTCGGGCTTGAACTGCCATAAAACATGTATCAAAGTTCAACAAATAATTCAATAATAGACAATTTAAAAACAACAAATGATCATGTGTCTCTGAAAAAGAAAAATTGGCCTCTTCCACCCATCCCCTCATTACTCACCATGCTTCCCAAGGGAAATGGTGGTGGGCACAGAGGGAGGTGGCTCTACTGCTAGGATTTCAACTTTATCGGTTCTAGATTAGAATGAAGATAATTGGGTAATTAATTTTGATATTTGTACATATTTAATGAATTTCTTAAAAGAAATATATTGTTTGTGAAAGTCACTGGATTCGGGCAAACCCGTATTTGTACTTCTACAACTGACCTCAGGCAGGCAGTTTAGTAAAATGAAGAGGAGATAACAACTATGGAAGGAAATAGGGAAAAACAGAGGAAAACACAATTTAAATTTTCTACATTAGAAGCACTTAATTTACCATTTAAAATAACCACATTTATAATATGTAATCTTCACACTAGCATAAAACAAATCGAGAACAGCAATCATCATGAACGCAAAGTTTCTAACTATTTAGCTAAGCTGCTATAGCTGTAACCTAAAACTTCATCACAATTAATCAGAAATTATATCCCCTTTCTGAGATCCCCATTGTTCCGAGCCAAAAGAAAAGGGGGAAATCTGTTAAGAACTGGAGGTTTTCGAATCAGACTGGCCCTCACAATAAAAGTTTAACTGGAGAGAAATAGTTCTCGAGTTCTACCTTTACATTTTGTTCCCTTTGGCTTGCTATTCTCTTTCACATCGATCTTCTAACTCTTCTTTGGGCCACATACTCACATCTTCTAAATTAACCTTTCAGACAGGTAAGGTTCTCACCATTTTTTCTAATTATTCGACATGTTCTTCATGAGACCATGCACTCTCAGAAAAATAAAAATGGAAAACCAAGGGAAGATAGGTAGGTTCAACACCTTGTTGGGGACACCACTAATAAGCTCCACCAAATAGATATGGCTCTTACCAGTAGGTTCAACCAGATTAAAGCTCATGGAAGCTTTACTAACTATAGAAATAGGAGTAAATGAAAAGCCTGAAGTTTTTTTACCTCATTCAAAGTTAACTCCTCTCCATATTGTACACAATTTTACATCTCAGACTTCACAGAAGGTCACAATTCCCATACATTTCCTGATTTCCTTTGATAATGGTGGTGTTTGGCAACTTACGCATCAATTATTTCACCGATAAATTGTTATCCCTCACTCGCACATATACCAGGTAGTTATATCCACCAAGCCATAGGCTGATGGGAAATTTACTGATTTTCTTCTATAGGTTTTAAGCACCCAAGGGTTCTAGAAGAGCCAAATAATCCAATATTCCTCCTTACCATGCTTCCAAAATTCTGAGGTACACAAATATCAATAAACTATATGAATCCTCTCTATCCATTCTGTTCTATTCAGATCTATTTAATTCCAATATAAAATAATCATCTAACAGCCTTCATTTCTCCTATCTTAAGACTCTCCCAAAAAAAAATTAATAATAAAAACACCAAAATCTTCTCCCATAGACATCGGGATATATCTGTTTTCATGCTAATTTCACCAAATATACAACAATTCAACAAAACCACGACTTCCCACTTCATAATTCTGAAATTATAAAGTAAAACATCAACAAAATTCGGAAAACCACTTGAATCTGAGTTAGAGCAAAAAACAAAAGGAACCCAGATGAAATCCAGCAAAATTAGAGATGGGTATAGAATAAAACCTGAGGGAAATTGGCAGATTGAGCCCAAACAGTTCCGTCCTGGCCAATAATAGCAGCAGAAGTGAGATGATTACCTTCAATCTCACAAAGCAAGTGCTCATCAACATATGTTTGCCAAGACATCTTTGATTCAACCCAAGTTTCAGCTTCAGTTTCTTCTTCAAAGTAGCTCTGAATTCAAGATCTATGGTTCAGTGAAAATGGCTTTTTGTAGAAGTTGCGTTGATGTTAAGCTCATTAATGTAAATGATCAATATTTTTCTTTTTTTGGTGTAGATAGAATAATTAGAAGATTCGGACAATTATAAAAATCTCCTTTTGACTAAAGTATGACTATTGTTTAACATGTTTTGAGCATATAAGGTTATTATTTTAGTAAAATGTAACATGAAAGTTGTGAATATAAGAAAAATGTTTTTTAGCGAGGAAAAAAATGTTTTTAAAAGTTTAAAATTGATTATTATAGGTTATTAATAGCTAAAAAGAATGATTGTTAAAGAATTTTTTAATGATAATATGATTTTAATCCTTATATGTTTTTTTAGCGGTAGAAATTTTCCTTCATTAATTAGTAATTGGGTCGTTAAAAATCTTAACAATAATCACTAATTTGATCGGTACAAGTACTTATTATAATTATAGTTCTTTTTGATAATTTTAAGTTATTTCAATATCAATATCTTTAACGATAAAAAAGTTTTCTCTAATGTCTATAAACATTAGACAAATCAATCTAAATTAAAAGAGTTTTAAAGATCATATTCTCGTTTGCTATTTTACTAAAATATTTACTGCTAAATAGTAATTACTATTTTATACATACTGGTACAGTAAAAAAACATACTAATTAATTAGTAATATTTATATATAACTTCATTGTTAATAATACAAAATATCAAAGAATGATATATCATTCAAGTTGTATGACATTTGGGACATCAGGATAGGAAAAATCACACGAGGGCCACATATGACACACTCGTATGCGAGTATTTACTATTTTTGAAAAATTCATCCGCAGACCGCAAAAGATGTAGGTGACATGTGGCCAAATCTGATAGTTTCTATAAATTTGTGAAAATCAAAATTCTATTTTATTTCCACTTCTTCACTTGACTTCAGTTGATCTCCTTAATCCTCTCCCGCTCACCCTACTTCAAGGTAAGTGTTTTCTTGCATGTTTCATGCTTATTTCTTCCACATGTACGCTATTTCAATCATAATTTCTCTTCGAAATCTAGTAAATTGAGGGTTTCTCTTGCACAAGAGCCCAAGTGAAGAATTGAGATTTTACTTTGACCTCTTGCACAAGAGCCCTAGTAAAACATCGAATTTCTTAGAATATGTTACTGAAATTTTGATTATAAGCTTATGAAAAAAAAGTTGAACTTCAAAACATTATGAATCGAACAAATTTTGAAGTTTTTGCTTTGATTTTAGTTAAGCAATTCAATTTCAGAGTCAAGTTTTGATATTATAGATGGAGGATTATTAATAGGTTTAGGTAGAATGGAATGGGCTAGAGGCAAAATATTAGGATGATTATATTAGTAAAAAGTTTGAAAAATAATAGTGTCTGTAGAATGGTAATTGTTATTCAATATGTGGCATCATTGAATACGTATTTCCCATTCACCTAGGCATAATAAGAAATAAATAAATTCACTTCGATATATATAAAGGATAATAGATCAATCTATTAGTTAAAGTGGGTAAATAATTTATTTGAACAATTTTAGCGTTCAATCTTAACATTCCGTTTAAGATTTTAAAAAAAATAACTATGATCATAAAAGTTTGTTCACAAAATTTATCTTGTTAGAAAGTTGTTCCAATACTCAAATACTAGCACAAGAAAATTATGATGTCATACTTTTGTCCTTTTTAACATGCAGTGCAAGAATCCGTTTGCCATAGATTTCTCAAGTAAAATTTGGGGGAAAATTTGATAAATAGTGTTTGTCCATATAATTTATCATTATTTGGCAAATTTTTAACGATAATATGAATTTTAATCCTTATATGTTTTTTAAGCGGCATAAATTTTCCTTTATTTGATTTGTACAAGTACTTTTTACAATTATAATTCTTTTTGATGATTTTAAGTTATTTCAATATCAATATCTTTAACGATAAAAAAATTCTTCTCTAATGTCTATATAAATACTAAATAAATCAATTATAAAAGAGTTTTAAAGATCATATTCTCGTTTGCTATTTTACAAAAATATTTACTACTAAATAGTAATTACTATTTCATACATACTAGTACAGTAAAAAATACACTAATTAATTAGTAATATTTATTATAAACTTCATTGTTAATAATACGAAATATCAAAGAATGATATAGCATTCAAGTTGTATGACATTTGGGACATCAGGATACGAAAAATCACACAAGGGCCACATATGACAATATGACTCGTACGTGAGTATTGCTCGAGTTGATATAATCCTTCCTTGTCGAGATTCTTATTCAGTTAGTAGCGTCCCCTATGTTGGACACGACTTAGAGGCTATTTGTATAGGTTGCTTATAACTAAATTGCTCGCTTTTAGCGATTGGATTGTTATTGTTGCCCTTGGGGTTATTGTGGTTAGCTGTAGGAATGTGATCTATGCCTAGAAGAGCTATGTTCTGCCTACAAGGCTATATGGATGCCTAAAAGGGCTATGAGTTACCTACGGGGCTATACTGATGCCTAGAAGGGCTATGAGTTGCCTACAGGGCTATATTGACGCCTAAGAAGGCTATGTGCTTCCTACATGGAAATGTTGTTGCCTAAGAGGGCTATGAGTTGTCTATAAGCTATGTTGATGTCTAAGAGATCTATGTGCTGCCTACGGGACTATATTAATGCCTAAGAGGGCTATAGGACTGCCTATAAGGCTAGGTGACTATCGATAGGGGTATATAGGTTGATTGACACCTTTCGGGCTTATGGAGGCCTGAGTAAGTGGTCTTGTGTGATGTTTGTACCGCCGAGCTTATGGGGGATTGGTTAGGTTGTTGTTTTATTATTTTGACAAGTTTAGATTTAGGAGCAGGTCAGTACACTTATCTTATCCTTGATTTATTTATCAGATTATTCCAGAATATGAGGATACCTCCTCATAATCGATTGCCTTTCCTACTCTGTACATTATTTTATACTGACACCCCATTGCCTTGGGGGTGCTGCATTC